AAGAATTCTGGTTTCATGTGAAGGTGCTATTCTGATTGATACCATTGTAGCCCCTGTTCTACTGCTGATTCCCAAACCTTTGACCCTGAAATCCTCCTGCATTGATGAAGTTAACATCCTCCTGCTCAATCTCTTCAGGAATTTTGAAAGTCTCCACCTCTAAAGCGAACTGGACTGATCTCTTTCCCACCATAAGGCTATGCATACTGTCTAACTTAGCCTTAACCTCAGCAAATTGGTTCCCATCATTCAAACCAGCTTGCTTCATCCTTTGAAAGTCAGCATTCTTGGTGCTGTTATTGCACGCCGAGTTTTCAATCATAGTGATTGCATCTTCAGGAAGGTTTGTGTTGAAGTTGCCACTGCTAGCAGCATCCAACGTCATCTGGTACCTCCAATCTATTACTCTAAAGAAAATGCCAAGCAGCTGCACCTGAGTGAAGCTATGATGAGGACAGTCCCTCTGATAAGACCTAAATCTCAACCAGGAAGCCTTAAAAGCTTCAGTGGGTCCTTGGGATAATGAAAAGATTTTCGTTCTCAACTCTTCTGATCTTGCGTCATCATAGAAATTGTTTAGAAAAGTGTTCTTGGTCTCTTCCCCAGTGGTCAGCGATCCAGGCTCAAGTTGCTTCAGCGAATAAGCTGCATCTCCTCCAAGAGATTAAGGGAACAGCTTGCAGAATAGGAAATCATTGCTGACTCTGTTAGCCTTGACGCTTGAAGGGTATTCAGACCATAGAAACGATGCTGACCCAGAAGCTGATAATAAGCGAACTTAAGCTCAAAATTGTTCCTCTGGAATGCAGGAGAGCGGATTGCTGCTCTATTGGCATAAAACTGGTCAGGTCTGTTGTAATCTCCTAGAGTCAGCTGCAAAAAACTCCCAGAAGCGTTTATAGCATCATTCGCCACTTGTTGAACCACCTGTTCAGCTATGACATTGCCATCCTGAGCCAGTCACTACCCTTCTCCATTCCTCCTGTTTCCATCTCTCTCAACCAAGTGACCTTCTGCATTTTCGGCCAAGACAAGTGGAGCAACCATTGTAGACTGTTTCTTAGCTTTTCTGATGGTCCTTTCCAGCTTAGCGAGTTCGTCGATGCTCAAATTCACAAGCTCCTTCTCTTTGTTGCATATGGTATTGCAATTAGGCATACACTTGAAACCAGCACAAAGAAAAATAGCAAAAGTTAGTAAACAAATAAAAAACTCAGTCAAAATCCTAATACTAAAAATCGATAGGCAGATATTACTCCCCGGCAACGGCGCCAAAAACATGATTAAGTTTTGCCCAATTATTTTACTACTGCAAGTGCACAGCAAAGTAGTTGTAGCATAAAAGGTTATCGAATCCCAAGGGAGTAAGCTACTGCACTAATGATTTTATATTCGGATTAAGCTAAGCAGTAATGAATGAATGTAATGCGAAATAACTAATAGTAATGAAAGCAGGCGATTTTTGTTGATTGATCTAAACTTCAGAAAGCTAAAGGCACTAAGTCAGGATAATTCGCAGGTTGAGTGTAGAATGCATGCAATCAGGAATGAATTAAAACCGTCTAGAACTTAAAACTCAATGATATAACAAATCAATTCTCATTGCATAAGTTATCTATGCCTAATTCACAGAATTTCAAATTTCTTTGCAAATTCTAACAAGTCCAGCAAGCATTAAACAGCAGGTTCCGATTGTTCACAAAACTCATAAGTTAAATCTCTTTGCAAATAAGCGTTTTTCTCATCTAATACTAGTTCAGGTGATTAACAATGTTCTCATATATATTAAACAACCTAGGGTTTCGAAATCTAGATGATTAGTCTAAGACATCGACATGAATGCAAGCACATATGAAGAACCAATGGATTTTCCTAACAACTTGGCAATTCTACAAACTCTTCATCTAACCTTTAAATCATCCTAACTTAACTAACAGATTACTCAGACATGATTATGAATGAACAAAGCATAGCTGAATAATACTGCATTAAAAAGATAAGAAGAGAGAAACAAGGGTTTGAAATCTTCTCGAAAAGAGTACATGATTTTTCTCTCTTAAAGCTCTGAATAATTCTAAGATATAAGATAAAAGCAAAAGAATGGCTGAAAATCTAATATACAGGCTAAAACACGAGCTGGGCTCTTCTTGTAAATAGTGGAACTCCTGAGCCAAAAGTGGAATTTCATCTCCATCTTTTAAATGAAACACGCGATCCTTCTCAGATGAGGGTGACGAGCGTCACCCTTGAGTGGTGACGATCGTCACCAAAGCACAACATCTTCTTCTGAGTTGCTAACTTTGGGCATGATTCTTGCTTTGATCCAAAAAGTTCAAAAACCTCCAATTGTGCTCAAGTCATGCTATAACCTGCAAAGACTCTACTCGGACACTAAAAAGACCATAAAGACTCAATAAAGAGGACTTATACCATGGTTAAAAACTATAAAAACCATGATATATCAGGATTCCCGAAAAGTAGTTAGAATGCACAGTTAGATGACTCAATGGGCACCATACCTCAAAGCAATCAGGCTGGTTTATTGACATATGAGGGGCTGATTTGTCAAACAGATGGTTCATGGAAACAAGGGGTAACCAATGCTGGTTTATGATGGGTTTAACAAAGCGTGGGCACATAGTGTACTTTAATGCGTGCAAGAAATGCATGACGTGGTTTATCATCATTTCACTCAGAATTATAGGTTTTAGTATGGGAAATGCATTGTATGCTTGATGCAAAGAAATTAATGTTAGTTTTTATCACAAACAGTTCCGAACTGGTGAAGATAGTGTCTAATCCAGCGTGAGTGGCCGGCTTTCTCATTACACTTGGAGGAATACGACAGGAGCAGAAGTGAGTTTGACTTCTTCTCGATAACCAAAATTCCACGCATGCAAAATATAAGAACATACAGGTTAGCACGAAGTGCTCGAGACTACCTTCATCCTCTACATTATGCAAACTCTATTCTACCGGCTTAGATTTCTGAGTCGTTTTGGATAAGAGGCTGTTGAGCCAAAAAAAAAAAAAAAAACTAAACAATATTTGCTGAGATTTGTGTATTTGTCAAAATTTTCTCCACTCATTGAGAAGCCCTAAAAAGGGTCAAAAATATTTAACCATCTCCCAATTTCCTATCAAATCCGTTCTTTCGCCACTTTCCTTTTATTATAGCCATTGATTTCTCTTTCATATCTTAAGTCTTATTTAAAGGTATTTCTACATAGTTCTTGTTTTTCTTATCTCTGTTTTTGTGAATCTATTACTGATGCAGGTTCTTGTGCTACTTCAATTACTCAAACCCACTCATGTCATTGCAGCATTTGAGATATCAACCCAATTGGGGAAGTTCAAGACAATAGGAACATAATAGATTATCTAATCCACGCCAAATAAGAGAATAAGTAGAGACAGGAGTCCTAAAACAATAACTAAAACCAAACAAGCAAGCAATACTAAGAAACAGTAAGCAATAACAAGGGAGAATGAGCTTAAGATGGGGTTATTGATCAAGGGGGATTCTCAACTTAATCAATGATGCTTACAAACTCATAACAATCATATTCTCTAAGCATAGAATATACAATTATGACTAATCTAATCTCTTAGTACTAATCACTTTGCTAAACACCTATTTAAGAACTAATTCACATTAGTTAAAAGATGATCAACAAGCATTACATGCAGATAATCAAATTCTGTATTGCCAATTTACTCTCTAATCATCTAATTTTTTAAGTTAGGATAAGCAAATCTCTTACTTGACTATGTCAGGCAATTCAACAAACACTTCATATGCATATGTGAACCCTAGGATCTAATTCAACTTAGCAAGGGCTGATCTAGCAATAAGATCATCAATAAGAAGAAAAATGGAAGAATCAATACTAAGCAATTATTAATCAAGCATCAAACTCTCCCAATATATTTCATCTCAATCCCAAACAAAAGACTACTCACAAAACATGGTTTTAATCACAAACCCAGTTATAAGAAGATGGCTAATCATGATCAGAAAGAAGATAAACTCAAACTTTGATTAAATAAGCAAGATTCAAGACTCAAATTTAAAAAAAGCAGACAAACTAGAGACAAAGAAGAATAAAAGATAGATCCCAAAATTGGGTCTCAAACATATTTATAGTGTTTCAGGAAAGCCCCTAGTAAACAAGAAATAAACCGGAAATTTCTTGGTTTGGAGGGGCTATATCGGGCAGCTTGGCCTTGAAGGTCATATTGACCAAGGGTGGTCGATATGCTGCTCTGTATGGACGTCATGAGGAGATCGTATCGAACTAACCAGCTCGATATGCTGGTCGGTATGAAATCCTTGAGGTTGGTACCGGTTTAGCCGTCTTGATATGCAGCTCCATACGTTCACCTCTTTTTAAGGTGTATTGAGCTAGCTAGCTCGATATGTACCTTGGTACGTTCGTCGTTAAGGTGTATCGAGCTGTCCACCTCGATATACAGCCCAGTACGGCTGTCCTGTCTCGAGTGTATCGGCTTGTCTAGCTAGGTTTTCTCCCCGGTACGTTCCTTCAATTCTGTATCGCTTTATCTCCTACCCCGATACTCAGCTTGGTATGAGCCTTGAACGTTGTATCGATGTGTCTAAGCTGAGATGCAGCTTGGTATGGCTCAAATCAGTCAGACTTGCCCGATATCCAGCTTGAGATGGTCCTCCACGCTTTGGTTCTTCCTTGGCTTCACTCCTTAATCACTCCCAAAGCTCCACATAGGCTCTAAACACCTCATTTGCACCTGCCACAAACTCTAAATGCACCAAACATGCAATGCAACTCCTAAAGCTACTGTAAGTCCTAAATAGATGCAAATGGGACAAGAACAAGTGAAAAATACACTTTAAAGACTAAAAACTAATGATGAATGCATGCTTAAATGGTATAAATAATGAGTATATTAGTTACAGATGAAATTGCTCTCTTTAATCCGTATTATTACATTCTGAGATAGTGATTTTCATGTGTTTATAGCGTAAATATGGAAGAGCCATATTTGGATTGTGTGACTTTACCCTTGCTGCATCCTGGTTGTCAAAATGGAGCTAAATGGTAGATTTTTTTAAGTAAATCCCATCCATTATTTTTGAATTCTTATTTTCACAGATTTATAATTCAGCTTAATTTATTTCAATGCAACAGGTTTATACACCACACCCCAAGTTACAACTGCTGTCAAAAAGGTCATTCAAAGCGTGTTTAGAGGACATGGTACTCTTAAAAACGAGTGCCACCCTTCAATAAAGCAACATGGTTTAATCTGTTGAAGGTATTCTTTCTGATTTTGACCCAAATAATAATGTTTTTCTTTGTGTTATATTTCATAAATAATTTTCAATGTTACTCATCATGTCTGATATACTTTCCTTTTTAGAAAAAATTTAACTGGCATTCTATTATCAACCATCAAGTTCAAAGCGAGTTTAATAAGCTTGCTACTTATTGCCTCTGAGGAATTATAAGCCATGCAAAGAAAGAAGGAGAAAAACCAGAGTGGATTTTTGCTGAATATTAGACCATTATGCAAGATTATTGGGCAACACCAAAAGCAAAAGCAAATAGCGAGAAGGCTCGTACTTCTCGAATGTCTGATGGTAATGGTTTTGGCCCTCATTCCCACCTATCGGGTTCATGTTCATATGCCATAGTTCAAGATGTTTTGGTAAAAACAAAATATTTATTGATTGTTTCTAATTGTGACAATTTTTGTATTGTTTCACTTTCTTTTATTATTTTGTTTACAGGAAGCAAACAACGAAGACTACTCTTTTATTGCTGTGATTAAGAAAGTAAATCAGAAGCCTGATGGACCATATATTGATGAAGAGAAATATTGGTTGCACAATCTTATGAGAAGCATGTACAAGAACGTTTGAGAGAACTTAAATATTCTGATGAAGAAAATGTGACAGCTGAAAATCTTGACCAACATGAGAAAAATAAAATTTATATTAAGGTATCCTTACTTTATACTGTGTTAGGATTTTTTAGATCAAATGTTTGCTTCTGATATCTTTTGATAGTTTAGCATAATTTTATCTGAGCTAGGGTATTGTTTCTTGGAGTATTGAGTTTGCAGAACGAGATCGTCTTAGTCCGGGTCTTGCTGGGCTTCTTGTTAAGTATTTTTTTCTATGATTATTATCGATGGATTGCATTTCAATGTTATATGATCGCTTTCTTGTGATTTTATCATTTGGAGGTTACGGCTTTGGAAATTCATTTCACTTTCTAAACTTTGTGTTAATGGTGATGCAAATTGTTAGCCTGTGAATCTTGGTTTTTATATAGTTGCTACAAGTGTGATAATGTTTAACTTTCTTTAAGTTAGAAAATTATGGATTTGAGTTTAGTTTTTAGAAATGTAAAGAATAACGTATTTGTTTACATTTATTTGTGTTTCTTGTGATGTGTGTTTAGTGTTAACAATCCCGTTGTTTTTTTTTTTTTTTTGGTCTCATGTTCATGTTTGTAATGACTCGGGTTTGGAAAAATGGGCCCATTTTGTATTTTCTCATGAAGGCCCATTAAACCCATCTCCTCCTTCCTTTGTCAGGATTGTAAACCCTTGGAAGAAAATGAGAGATGGGGAGCGACGATGTGAAGCCGCCGTCTCTGTCTCCGTTCGTTTACTCTGCCGCCACCATTCACCACCACCGGCGATATGCTGCTCCGAGTCACCGTCCTTGTTCATAAGTCTGATTGTTGGTAAGCGATCCATATCTCTTCATCATCCTCACCATTTGGTTTTTCTCCCGAGAATGATCATGCTTTGAAAATCACCATTGTTGTAGTTGCTTAAGCTCCAAGCTTCGCCCTCTCCATCCAGTTTTGTTGCTGGTGTTGCTACATCATCGTGCGGGAATTATTGATGTGGTAAGAGATCTGATTTGTCCTTCACCACTTTCGTTGCATCTATTTTCCCCGTGAGTTGCTGAATATTGATCCGCCACTGTTGTTGCACCTTCAGCCATAAGCTTCCTCCTTTCCCACGTTGAGCTTTGTTGCATTGGTGAGGTCATCGTCATCATCCGTGGTGAGAAAGAGTTATATTTCCCCTCACGTCATGATCTCCGAGAGTAAGATTTTGAATAGAATATTCAATTGTTGCTTCAGCCCCAAGTAACAAGTTGTTGTCTCCTCTGCCGTGTGTTATCTCCAACCGTATTCATCCTTTCACTTCCTTTCATCAAACCAAAAATTAAAGGTGAGGACGGGATTTGTGGATTCTTAAAGCTTCCACTTAATTAGTATTCGTAAATGCTAGGTTTAGAGAATTGTGTGTTGATTGTAGTGATTGAGAAAATGATATTAAGTGATGGTTATGTGTTTAGATGATGAAACGTTAAGTTGATATAATGTGTTGGTGGAGAGTATATGTTATATTTTGTGAAGTCGGACTGAAAGCGAGGACATGGTGATCCCGTTTAATTCTATATTTTGGTGAAGTCAGACTGAGAGCGAGGACATGGCGATCCTATTTAAGTCTGTACTTCAATGCAGTCGGACTGAGAACGAGGACATGACGATCCCATTAAAGCCCGTTAACCGGCTGACGAACCAAAGGATGGTGGAAGACCTTTCGAGGTGCCCGACCAGCCCAGTGTCATGATAATTTATATTAAATTAATGGTGGCAGAAGACCTTTCGAGATGTCCGACCAGCCGAGTTGTGATGTGAATTGTGTTGAGTCGTAATGTGATTAGTATAATATTTATTAGCCGTTATTGGAAGGTCGTGTTGATTGCTGTTTGTTATTGAGTTAGTATTTGCGTGTATTGTTAAATAGTGGCGTTGGAAATCATGTGGGCGGAAATGACCTTCTGCATTGAGTGACTTTGTTACTCACCCCCTCCCTTTCCCCTCTTTAGTATGTGCAGGTGTGTTTCTTGTGGAAAAAGTTAGGGTGCGAGACCTAGGACACAAAAGTGACGGGAACAAGAGCTACAATTGGTATCAGAACCTAGGTTAGCCAAGTCGGTTCTGACCAGGAAGGCTGGTCCTAGAGAAAGAAAATGTATTTAAAAATGTTTGAAAAGAAATTGTTTCCAGAAATATTTAAAAAGATTTGGGGATGTTTTAATTAAAAAAAAAGATCTTTAGTGTCTAAAGTCACGCGCTAGAGTTATGTTGTTTGGTGGTAGGTCATAAGTTGATTGAGTTGGTGGGTTATAAGTGTTAAGTTATTTTACTCGGAAAAAAAAGTTGTGTAATGTTTAGTTTGAAAATTTTAGCCCCACGCTTTGTTCAATATCGGAGTCACACCTAGTATGTGAGTTTCAAATTGACAAGTGTTGAGCTTCTGGAGGCGTGTTGTTAAGAAGATAACAAAGATGTGGAACTTCACTGGAGCAATAGTGAAATTTTGAAGAAAGATCTAGAAGATGTTTGATTCAACTGAAAATGGTGGTGCTTAGAATTGTGTGGAAATGAGGATTATTTGGCTGCAATCTCCATTGTGGGAGAAAAGACAGAGAAAGAATGAGATTCTATACCAGTGGTGTCAGGATATGCAGACGTATTTGAACCATTAAAAGGACCACCACTGACTCGAGGGGATGCAGTCACTATAGATTTGGTGCCCGGGATAACACATGTATCTAGAGCGTCTTACCGTCTAGCACCCGCAGAAATGGCGGAGTTGAAAAAGCAGTTAGAGGATTTAACCGATAAGGGATTTATTCGTCTGAGCAGTTCTCCGTGGAGCACACTAGTTCTGTTTGTCAAAGCGGAAAAATTGAAGGTGCTTAAGAATCCTGTGCAAGTGAAGTTAAAGCAGGATGAGGTAGTTAAAGCAGGATGAGGTGATCATAGAAAGGAAAATGAGATGCTATGTCAAGATCAAAGGCAGTGCATAAGAGCATGACAACTGCAGGAAAGGTGATCAGTAAGGGCATGTCAGGCGAAGCTAAACGCGCAATATAAAGATTAAGGCAAGAAGAAAGTCAAGAATGAGCCAAGGTTAAAAAGTAGTGTTGATTATATGCATAATATGGTTATAGAGTGAAGTGGGATGCAAAAGGATTAATGATGAGAGACAAGGATGTGTTTTAGAGCCAAAGGACTTTTGGCTTAAGAACTGACATAAGGGACTCGGTGCTAGAACTTAGAACGCTTTCAATAATACTACATAGTTGTGGACGAGGAAAGGGAAGTTCTAGTAAAGCGATGGAAAGTTGGAAGTTACTAATGGTGGGGAAAGAAACTCTATATTTGGAATTCACGGCGGGTATCAAAATAAACTTTATGGGGATGGTTAAATTGGTGTTTTCAAGAACTCGTTATGGAGGATTGAACCCAAAAAGGAACACGTTATAGTGGAAAGGTACATCTGGTAGTTCTTGGCAATGTAATGCAATGCATAAATCTGAGGACTAAAGAAAACTGTGGAAGCTATGGGTATCACATTTTATGGACATTGGACTGGGAAAAAAAAAAAAATGGACGGAGTAGAGGGGTAGCCGTCTTAGAAGGAAAAGTCCATTCAAATTTTTCTAAGATGTAGAGTGGCACAACGCTCAGCCTGGATGTCCCACTACAATGATGACTAAGCAAGAATCGTATGTTAATCGTTGTTAGTGTTACCTAAATATTGAAGAGCAAGTTCTATGGTTAGATGAGTAAACTCAAAAAAACGCTTAATGGTTTTGGGGAACATGGAAAAATCCTTTAAACGATAAATGCTGAGTCTTAAGCATGATTGAAATGTCTAGCAGGAATCGACTTCATGTGCGGTGATTGTACACTGATTGTAAGCCATTTAGTAAAGGAACTTCGGAGAGAGCGAAAAGTTGGCTGTTCACTCATTGTAAGGTTCTTGGTTTACCTTCAAAGTAGCTAAGAGAGTTTATTCAATCGGTTAAGGTGGGCGTGTTATCGTAGAATGGTAGTGGGGAGAAGAACTATTACGTTTGGAGCTATCAAGTAGCAAGTTAAACATCGTGTGGTAATTAAAAATAGAAGGACAAGTTTAATGGGGATGGAAACCTTGGAGGAAATGTTGGTAAAACACTACGACATAACGACAAGGTAGAGAACCTCAAGTAGAAGTCAATTTTGCATCATAGTGCGGATAACGAAACTGTTGCTAAAGGTTCTGCAAAATAGCAGCTACGACACTGGTCGTTCCTTATGATATTGCTAAACGTCAGTGTTGACCATTTACACAGAAAGAGATTATATTTTGTTCGGCTCAAGCCAGAGATGAGATGTGGTGATAGACTTTCTCCGAGAATCGTATGCTGAAAATCTAACCCATCCCATCAAAGTGTGTAACTGACCCTAATGGACATGAGCAGTAGAAAGTGATCTCTATGTTGTTTTATTTGGAGTTGTTGGAACAATGGTATCAAGGAAAGAGACAGTTTGAGGTTTGATTGAGAACTAAGTGGAGGAGAAGCAGTCCCATGGATTGGGAGAGCGTAAATTATTTAAAGCGGAAGAGTGGTCAGAGTTCAGTTTTTCTCGTCATGGAGTTTCTGATTAAGTAGGGGAAAATTGCAATGCAGATCTTTACCTCGCAGGAATTCTGAATAAGTAGGGGAAAATTGTAACGACTCGGGTTTGGAAAAATGGGCCAATTTTATATTTTCTCATGAAGGCCCATTAAACCCATCTCCTCCTTCCTTTGTCACGATTGTAAACCCTCAGAAGAAAATGAGAGAGGGGGAGCGACGATGTGAAGACGCCGTCCCTGTCTCCGTTCGTTTACTCTGCCGCCACCATTCACCACCACCGGCGATACGCTGCTCCGAGTCACCGTCGTTGTTAATAAGTCTCATTGTTAGTAAGCGATCCATATCTCTTCATCATCCTCACCATTTGGTTTTTCTCCCAAGAATGATCATGCTTTGAAAATCACCATTGTTGTAGTTGCTTAAGCTCCAAGCTTCGCCCTCTCCATCTAGTTTTGTTGCTGGTGTTGCTACATCATCGTGCGAGAATTATTGATGTGGTAAGAGATCTGATTTCTCCTTCACCACTTCGTTGCATCTATTTTCCCCGTGAGTTGCTGAATATTGATCTGCCATTGTTGTTGCACCTAAAGCCATAACCTTCCTCCTTTCCCACGTTGAGCTTTGTTGCATTGGTGAGGTCATCGTCACCATCCGTGGTGAGAAAGAGTTATGATTCTCCTCACGTCATGATCTCCGAGAGTAAGATTTTGAATGGAATATTCAATTGTTGCTTCAGGCCGAAACAAGTTGTTGTCTTCTCTGCTGTGTGTTATCTCCAACCGTATTCATCCATTCACTTCCTTTCATCACACCAAAAATCAAAGGTGAGGGCGGGATCCGTGGATTCTTAAAGCTTCTAGTTAATTAGTATTCGTAAATGCTAGGTTTAGAGAATTGTGTGTTAATTGTGGTGATTGAGAAAATGATATTAAGTGATTGTTATGTGTTTAGATGATGAAACGTTAAGTTGATATGATGTGTTGGTGGAGAGTATATGTTATATTTTGTGAAGTCGGACTGAGAGCGAGGACATGATGATCCCGTTTAAGTCTGTATTTTGGCAAAGTCGGACTGAGAGCGAGGACATGTCGATCCCATTTAAATCTGTACTTCAGTGCAGTCGGACTGAGAATGATGACATGACGATCCCATTAAAGCCTGTTAACCGGCTGACGAGCCAAAGAGTGGTGGAAGACCTTTCGAGGTGCCCGACGAGCCCAGTGTCATGATAATTTATATTAAATTAATGGTGGCAGAATACCTTTCGAGATGTCCGACCAGCCGAGTTGTGATGTGAATTGTGTTGAGTCGTGATGTGACTAGTATAATATTGATTAGCCGTTATTGGAAGTTCATGTTGATTGCTGCTTGTTCTAGAGTTAGTATTTGCGTGTATTGTTAAATAGTGGCATTAGAAATCATGTGGGCGGAAATAACCTTCTTCATTGAGTGACTTTGTTACTCACCCCCTCCCTTTCCCCTCTTTAGTATGTTCAGGTGTGTTTCTTGTGGAAAAAAGTTAGGGTGCGAGACCTAGGACACAAAAGTGACGGGAACAGGTGTTACAAGCTTGTACCGCCCCCGACCGCCCCTACCGGCAAGTCAACCATCCCTCCGTCGGGCTCGTGGGCCCCGCCCCTGTTCGACGGCTGGTGCGTTATTTATCCCGGAGCCCAACCGACTTATTTACTGACCTTGCAATCACCACAAGATCTTTCCCCGTGTTTTGGCCTCACTCACACGGTTTCGGGAATCACTTTCCAAAAGATCACCCATCCTAGTCCTACTCCAACTTAAGCACCCTTAACTGTGGAGTTCTCTCGGGACCAGTGACCAAAAAGATAAGTGCACTTTGATGACATAGGTAGTCAAATCAATCCATTTAAACTTATTCAAATGGGTCAGGCCTGGGTCGTTACAATTCTCCCCCACTAAACGGGAATTCGTCCCCGAATTCTGATTCCGATAGTGTGAACCATAACCCCCAAACCCCAAGACAGTCTCATGGGACAGAACCAGTTTGACTTCCCAGGCTCTAATACCACTTGTAATGCCCCCGACCGCCCCTACCGGCGAGTCACCCATCCCTCTGTCGGGCTCGTGGGCCCCGCCCCTGTTCGACGGCCAGTGCGTTATTTTTCCTGGAGCCCAACCGACTTATTTACTGACCCTGCAATCACCACAAGATATTTTCCCGTGTTTTGGCCTCACTCACACGGTTTCGGGAATCACTTCCCGAAAGGTCACCCATCTTAGTCCTACTCCAACTTAAACACCCTTAATTGTGGATATCTCTCGGAACCAGTGACCGAAAAGATAAATGCACTTTCGTGACATAGGTAGCCAAATCAATCCATTTAAATTTATTCAAATGGGCCGGACTCGGGTCGTTATAATGTTATTGTTCTTTCGGTCTAGGATGCTATAGATGTTGGGTCTTCTAAACAACGTCATATCTTTGGACTAGGAGCACTATGTGGATTTTTACCATCTATTATTGCTTCTCCTAGTCAACCACAATAATCTGAAGAAACATATTTAATGAGAAATCGCCTGCAAGAGTTGGAAGCTGAACACAAACAGAGCCGTGAAGAAAATCTGGGGATTGTAAAAAGATTTGAAGTTATGGAAGAAATGTTGGAGTCTTTTGCAAGTAATAATGCTTAGATCCAACTCTAACACTAAGACCGTCCATCTTCCATCTTCCATCTTCCATCTATCTTCGTCCAGCTTCCATCTTCCATGGTTCCATCTACTTTATATTTATCTTTAGTACTTTGGTAGTTTTTATTTTATTAAGACTGTTTCGGGTTTCTGTATTAACTTTGTTTTGGATTTGGAAGTTAGTTTGTTAAGTAATACTCCCTCCGTTTCATAATAAGTGTCATTTGGAGAAAATATATCTGCATTGTAATTGAATGTATCTGGATGTGTTTTGAGTTTAATACATCCAGATTACACATCCAGATTACACATCCAGATACATTGCAGATACATTTTCTCCAAATGACACTTATTATGAAACAGAGGGAGTATTATGGATTACTTATTATATTTTCCTTTTCAATGTTTTATTGTAGAATTATAAATTTTTATGAAAATGTGATTACAATTAATTAAATATACTTGGTAACTGTTTCTGACTAAATTTTGATGGTTTTTTGACAATTTCTTACAAATTTAGTAAGAAAAAAAATTGTCATGTATTGATATCTTCATTATTTATACCATTTTAGCTTGCATTCATCATTAGTTTTAGTATTTCAACATTCATATTTTGCTTTTTCTTGTCTCATTTGCATACATTTAGGAGTTAGTGTAGTTTTAGGAGTTGCATTGCATTTTGCATGCATTTGGAGTTTTATTCAGGTACTAAAAGGAGTTTGGAGACCAAGTGGTGCAATGGATGTGAGTTGGGAATAGAGCAAGGAGAAGGAAAAAGTCGGATGGGCCAATATTGATGTGATCTGATCGATATGGAGCATACCGATGTGAGTATCGACCACTTCAAGTCGATACAGCAAGAGCATGGTGTAAAGGCAGCATATCGACCAAGGAGGACCTCGATAAAACAGAACGTAGCCCATACCAAGCAATGTATCGACGTCCCAGACCGATACACAGAGACAGGACAATACCTAGGAACCATATCGACGTGTCTGCTTGATAAGCCTTAACTAAAGGGCGATTGTATCGACTTCACACCGAAGAGAGTCAAGCCGATACACTCTTGAAGCCTTGCATATCGACCACCGTATCGACTAGGTCATGTTGATGTAATCCACAAGAAGACCTGATACCGATGTGTGTATCAAATGTACATGGCCGATATGGTCCACCCGAGTCAGCTTATTTTTGGTTTATTCTTGGTTTACTAGGGGTTTCTAAGCTCCCCTATAAATACTAAAGTCCTAAAATGGTTAGGCAACTTAGATCTTATTATTTTTCTTCTGTTCTAGCACTAAGAGTCTTTCATTTTTCAGCTTTGCTTTGTAAGAACTAGTTTGATTTAGTGAATTTCTGCATTTTCTTTTAATCTATTCTTGCTTATTATGCTTTCTAATCATGCTTAACGATTATTTCTCTTTGGAGTTTGTGGTTTTAATTATGGCTAGTGAGTAGTCTTATTTAGGATTTGAGATGGGATAGATTATAGGGGTTTTAGGATTAGATTAGTGATGTCTTATGCTTAATATGATTCTTCTTTCTATTAGATGTGCTTCATACTACATTAGTCTCGGCCAGACTTGTATAGTATCTTGGCTTTCTCTTATACCTGATAAGTGTTTGATTAAATGCTGCAATGAGTCTTTGAGAGGATTTGTTTTCTTAGTCTAAGGAATTAGATGTCTAAGGTGCATTTTGGCTTTATTGGATTGGAGTTCTGTTCTCAATGCTTGCTGATCATGTGATTGAGTAAAGGAATTTGTCTTGAATATGTGTTTAGCAAAGTGATTAGTATCATGGAATTAAGCTAGTTATAGATGTTAATCCTATGCTTAGAAGTTAGCATTGTTCGAATGGTTTTGAAGCATCGCTAGTTTAGCTCTAATCCCCTCTTAGTCAATAACTCCCATCTTAGATCCTTGCTTCAATCTATTTGAATTTCCTACCTTAAATTTGTGTTGCTTAGTCTTGTTTAGATTGATCACAACTGCTTTCTTGAATTTGGCTTGACTTAAGTGATTTTCTGCATTCCTAGTGTCTTATGAACTCAGATGGATTGATACATTTCATACTACAATGATTTTAGTGTGTTAGGATTTGAATAGTTAGCAAAGTCCTGCTATCATTAATATAAACTAGATGAGTACCCGCGCGATGTGCAGATCATTTTTCACAGTATAATTTGTTAAAAAAATGTAGTTACAATTTATTTTATTGTATATTTAAATTTTTCTTAAGGATGTTGTGTATTTGAATAAACATACAATATATAATTACATATTATGTAGATATTAACTATATATGTGATAAATGGTTTAATGATAAGGAAATGTGATATATGTTATACGTTGTATATATAGAATATATTAAATGGATATACTGCAAATCAGAGAAGTACTATATAATAAAAATTAGTTAGAGAAACTCTTCAAGCACAACATAGGTAGAGACGACTCTTTTTAACAGATAATATTTGTTCATGGCGCAGATTTACACAATCACAACGCCGTCGTTTTATATTTTTATGAGCTTAAATAATTGAGTTATAATTACATTAAAAATTTTATAAATAAATATATTAAGACTTTGATAACTTATTAATTTAAAAATTATTAACGGATCAAGTTTGAATAAAATAAATTATCAAATATTTATTAGTTTATAAAGAAATTGTTTTAAAGTTTATTATAATATTGTATACATTTTTCGTCTAACTTTTATAGGTTCAAAATATCAAATAATTTTTATTTTTATATCTGTATAATTGTTTTTATAAAAATAACTTATGATATTAATTAGAAATAAGAAAACACTCTTAAATAAGAAACATAAAAAATTTTAATGACTATTAAAAACTACCATAAAATAGATATTTAATAATTATTTTTTAGATATTAAGTATATATTGTTATTAAAATATATTATCTAATACTTCATATTTTTTATATTTTTCATATTACTTTGGTATTATGATTAATAATCCATTAAATTTATGCATTAACTGTCTTTTATATAATTTGTATCATTAAATTTTAAAAAATAACGCATGTAATTTTTACAATAAACCAAAATGATGAGGTGACACTCATATGGAGAGAGTTAGCCATCTTTTATAGTATAGATTAATGTGATACAGTTATGTGCCTATAAAGTTACTAATTATAATGGTTTTGTGACATTATTGTGGTTGTAATTTCTAACATATTAGTGATTTAAATTGGGGGAATTGCTGAATATGACTCAAAACTTGATTTGAATTACAAAACTAGACCTTCTATTGCATGTTTGACAAAAATAACTCACAGGGGTAGTGAAATTACAATATTATCCCTTCTGACCAAACAAAAAACGCTCGTCGCAATGACTATTTTATCCCCGAGAAGTCTACTTGAGCTCGAGTAGACTTCTCGAGTAGACTTCTCCGAGAAGTCGAGAAGTCTACTCCGGAATAATGTATTTACCATTAATTAAAAAAATTATGAAAAATAATTTGGTGAAAAAATTATCAAAATAACAAAAACATATACTTTTTACACCTATTAAAAATAAAATTTGACACAAAATAATTAATTTAAATAATCATAGATAAATTAGGTTAGAAATCAATACTAAGTAGACTTCTCGGATTCTAAAGTAGACTTCTCAGGAGTAGACTTCTTGGAGAAGTCTACTTTATTTTAATTTCTTTACCACTAATTTTAAAAATTATGAAAAATAATTTGGTAAAAACATTATATACACAATTAAAAAAGATACATTTAGCATCTGTATAAAAAAAAATCATGAAAATGAATCAATTTATAAGTTTCATAAGTATACAAATCAAAAGGGTTAGGGTTGAGGTTTAGGGTTTAGGGTATAAGAGTGTAATTCTTAGGGTTTGCACAAATTCTATATGAATCATAGTTTATGGTTCAGTTAATGAATCATGGTTCATATATTTGTTATTTTAACTATGACTTGTCAATATGGTAAGTAATTAATGTTTTCATATAAGTTTTAATTAAAAAAAATTGATTTAGGGTTTAGGGTTAAGTAGACTTCTTGGACCGAAGTAGACTTCTCTCGAGTAGACGTCTCGGACCAAAGTAGACTTCTATCTAGTAGACTTCTCTTACCGAATTAGAATCAAAAGTAGACTTCTTTGACCGGTTATGTCCGAGTAAAATAAAAATAATCACTGAACCGAATAATATTACTAACCCATTTTTAACCGGCCTATATATTTCATTTTTACCAGAAAGTAACTCATTCCACAAACCCTAGTTTCTCTCGACTCGTAACCAGCGTTTGGGCGATTTCTTTCGCCATTTCTGTCGCCGTTCATACCGTCGTCGCCGCCGCTGCTTCAACTCATCACCACCGTTTGTAAATTGTCAACGGAGGTAATCTCTGTTCTCCTCTCTCAGATCTCTCACTTCTGTTTATCTCTTTATCTGTATATAGACCTTAATCGATTTCGTTCATCTCTTTTTATCGCCGCCTCTGTTGCCTTGTCGCCTCGTCGCCTTGTTACTGCTGGTAATTCTGTCCTCATTTCTCTTTGTCCGGCATCTGTTAGATTCAATTTTTTGCCCTAGATATCATCGCCGCCGCTAATTTGGAAATTTTTTGTTTGGATTTACAGATGTCGACGACGCTGTTGGTTGTCTCCGCCGGATTTCAGTGTTCGCAAAGGTAATTTATGTAACTAGTGATTTATTTTAGAATTCGTATAAGTAGACTTCTCTAGAGTAGACTTCGCTTTCGAGTAGACTTCTCTTTCGAGTAGACTTCTTCTCGAGTAGACTTCTCTTTCGAGTAGACTTCTCTAAGTAGACTTCTTCTCGAGTAGACTTTTTCGCGAGTAGACTTCTCGGAGAAAAGTAGACTTCTTTCTGAACTAGACTTCTGCCATTTGCTAATAATTATATATTTCTTACATATTTATGCCATCTTTGGTTTTGCAGGATGGAGAAGCAGCCCAAGTTTCCAAGGAGATTATTCACAAAGGACGA